GGGGGGGCTTAAAACCTGTGGTTAGCAAAGGATCCCAGCCCTCTAAATTGCCCCTAACTTTTCCATGGCTGACAGTATGTTTGTCAGAAGCTACACGCAGGGTGCCGTGATTGTACAAATCCAGGTTCATGTACAGTACTGACCATTAAAACAACTTTTAAAACCCTGCTGGTTATAGAAAACAAACACTTCTATTTCTTTTTTGTCTAATGATAAAAAAGATAGCAGAGAATCCCACATTATTATCCACAGTATAAATTACATAGTAGACAGAACTTGTAAATATATATATATATATATTTATATATAGTACAGTTATATTTTACTAGAATTTTTTTGATTTTCTGTTTTCTACACAAACATGGTTTCTTAAARGTCTGTTTGGACAGCACTGTGCTGAGAGTTACATCACGTGTGGCAGAACTCTGCGCTGGGCACGTTGCTGCTCTTGCAGTAGGCTATGCTGTTGTTACTGAGGTGACAATCTCTAAATCCAATGCCCCCGTTGGGCGTGTATATGGGCTGAATACGGAAATCTCCCTTAAGCAGCTGCTCATTGTTCAGAGCCACTATCTGGAAACTGGTCTCAGTCATCTCCAGAATGGAGTTATCCTTCTTGGTCCCCGCCTCACAGTAGTCGTCTTTTCTCCGGCCGCGATTGTATTTCCACTTGTTTGAAGACGAACGGCTCTTCCTGTGCATGTGCCAGCAGAAGAGGCCCAACAACGTCACCAGGATGATCAGAACTGCCCCACCTATAATCCCGGCCATCAGCAGCGTAGAGTTGATGCTGTCCTGAGGCGCCTGCTCTTTGCCGGGAGGCTTAGTCGAAGGAGGCAGCTTGGTCCTGGCCTCGGAGCAAATAGTATCCTCTCCGGGCCTGTAGGAGTTAAAGCTGTCCAGAACGTGAACACAGATCCGATACACGGAGCGCGGCTCAAGGTTAGTGAGGCTGAGGTACCGCTGGTCCCCACTCACCGTCCTCTCCCGCATCCCTTCATTTATTTGGCTTTGGCCCCTTTTGACCCAAGTGACTTTGTAGGCCATAACTGTAAAATAAGAAACCCAGCTCACATCAATGTTGGTGGAGTTAACCACGTGGAAAGATATCTGAAGGGGGTCCTCATAGGGGGGAAGGGGCCCCGGGTTGTTATAGGTTGGATATAAAGGAGGGGAGGGGGAGTCAAAGTAGTAAGGGATGGATGTGGTGATGAGGGTGGAGATCATGGTGGTGATGGAGGTGGTGGTCGGTGGGGGTGGGGGCGTGGAGCGAAGTGTGGGCCAGGCTGGCTGGTCGGGATAAACCGGGCACTCAATATTATCAAGCGTGAGCTCTCTGATTGTCATGCCACGCACCTTATCTGGACTGGAGCACACAAACCCCCGGGCATTGATGAAGGACGGTAAAGACTTGAGCCACACCACCACCCACTTCACAGCACAGTCACAGCGCCAGGGGTTGTTGCGAACCATGAGATGCTTCAGGCTTGACAGGCCATCGAATACACCCTGTGTCAGAGTCTGAAGTTGGTTGTTAGATATATCCAGTTTTTCCAGCCTATTAAGGTCAGTGAAGGCTGCCACGGGGATCTGGTCTATCTGGTTTTCCTGCAGACTAAGTTTGACCAGTGACTGGCTGGGTAAGAGGGGCGGGGGAAAGGTAAGGGAATTGCGGGCCAGGGCCAGCTCACGCAGGGTGGAGAGATCCTGGAAGGTTCCTGGTGCAATACCCTCATCTGTCAACAGGTTCCCATCCAGCAGAAGGCGCTGCAGGCGCGTCACGTTCTGAAAGGCCTCCTCTGCTATTATAGCGATCCGGTTCTCATCCAACCGTAGCTCCTTCAAGTCCTCGGGAAGGCCAATTGGAACACTGCTCAAGTGATTTTTGGTGAGGAAAAGGAGTTTAAGGCTCAGRGCCTCCCTAAAAGCCCCTTCCTCCACCCCTACTGTGGAGATAGAGTTATCGTCYAGGTGCAGCTCCTCCAGTTTAGTCAACTGAGCCAGGGCTACTCTGGAAATAGTCTGAATGTTGTTCTCCTGCAGATGTAGGACCCTGGTGTTTTTGGGTAGATTGATAGGGAACTCATCAAGCTGGTTTCCATAGAGATACACGGTCTCAACCGAGACCAGATTGTGAAGTTCCACAGGGAAGCCAGCATTGTTGATCTGGTTGTTGTGAAGGTAGAGGACCTTGTAGCCGTCCTCTATCCCCAGAGGCACTGATGTCAGGCTGCGTTCATTGCAGTACACAAACGTTTTGTCACAACGACACTCTATTGGACAGGAAGCAATGGGGCTGAATTGCATTTGGAGGCTCAGTATTACAGTTAACCAGAACTGCAAGAATGAAGCCCAATCTTTACTCCAGGTTCCAACCAGACACTCCATAGTGAAAAAACAGAGAGAGAAAAGGAAAGGCAACAAAAAAAAAAAAGGAAATAAAATCAAAAAGGATATGATGTARGTATCCACCAAAAGCCAGAGCCACAAAAAGCCCACCTAGGAGAGTCTGGGAATGAAACAGTCAGCTGGAAGTGAAAACAAAGGGAGTAATCCTGTAAAATGCTAGTCCTCTGCTGAAGAGCGATGGTCTCATTTATGGTGTCCCGTCCTCTCACTGACTCCATCCATGCTGAGATATCAGACCATAGCCAGGGCTCTTCATTCGTTGCTCCACGCAGAGCTCAGCCAGGTCCAATTTGAAGACACGCAGCAGAAGGCCTCCGCAGGCGGCGCTCGCCTGTCCGTCACACACTGCTGGTCCCCGACCACCGCAGAGCCCAGAGGGGGTGACATTGGGATCCAGGGTCCTGTAAAGAAAACAAAGGAAAAGCTAAATAACTWTTTTCAGGAATAGTTTGTAAGTTGATGAAAAAAAAACAGCCCCTATTTTCTTCCCTTTTTTCCTCTTTATTTTACAGGCAACACACCCACACAAATCYGCCGTCGCTCTTTTTCCTCTCTTCTGAACAGAAAAAGAGATGCAACACATAAAGTCCACTGCTCGTCTGGAATTTTGCACAAAGTAAAAAAAAGGAGAAAAAAAAGAGTCTGATAAATATTCAAAACAGCTCTTACACATCCGGTTTCACAGAAATAAAGAAGGCTTTTATTTCCCCCACCACCACCCTCGCTCTATCAAAGGAGGTAATAGAGCACTGCAAGGACACACTCTTATGGATTCACAGGGCTGCTCAGCAACATCACTGTTGCCTAATGGAAAACAAGATAAAAAGAGATAAGGCTAATAAAGACATTGACTCTCTGAGTGCCAACATGGTTGTCTGAGATACTTCCCYATGAGATAAAAAAACAAACATGAAAAAATAATTTGCACCTGCTTTCATAGACAAAAAAAAAATCAAATCCAGCTGCTACGGCAGACGTTGTGGGCAGAGGCGCTGGAGTAAACACACAACTGCTTACAGTAAACACAGGCAACTGTTTTTGCTGGTGGCCTGCGGAGGAGCCTGTTATTAGGCTTCTATCGTCAAAACTGGAGATCTTAAGGGGGAACAACGGGATCGGCCATCGAGGAACGAAGATCCGTTCCTCCTCCAGTTGCAGAGATGAACACGAGCTGTCAACTAAAATCAGATTGTAAAATAATTTACACCCTCGGACTGTACTAAATAATTCATACAGGCTATTTTATAACATTAAAATCTTTGCACTAAACCACAAGGCTATTGGATCACTAGACACCCCTCTCCCCAGCCCCTCCAAACCACCACCAGATCCATTATTCCAATTTTTATGACCCATCACACACCTCCTCCTTTCTTCTCTACATGACTGAAAGATGGAGGCTGTCATCCGGAGCCTCCTCCCAGAGTCAGTGCTGGATGATGTGCGATGACGGGAACAAAGAGTAGAATGTTAATCACCAGATCAGCTGTGAATTTAGATCATCAACTGGTYGTCTGCAAACCACTATAGGCTCATGCGGAGCCACTTCCGGCCCACAATGTCATTCAGATTCCTTAAATCTGCATTGAACTTTGTATTCAATGCTATTGGACARGTTTTTATCTTTTCTCAGACCAAATAAAAATTTGGCTTCCCATTTCCAACAAACATTTTCCACTAGTATACAGAATGGATATACATACACTATTCCTGAAAATCAAGATATGAATGTGCAGTTATGACTCTGGAAWTAGATTATTCCCTCAAAAAATTACCAGACAATATATATATAATTTAAACAAATATTATAAAACTGACTAGGCTAACTAGAACTGAATCTTTCAACATTTTTAGCTTTTATTAAGACTTCATTAGTATTATTTTCTACCAAAAAAGKCCCAAAAGTGTTGGCTAAAGCTTGTATGATAAAATCACTATTTGCAAGTCACTCTCGAAAATATCCAATGTTTCCTCAGGTAATTCCTAGAGTCTCACTCCTATAGGAATATTTTTGATCAGTTTTCCCAATTCAGTTTATTTAAATTTGACTGTTGTTGCAGTCCTTCAGAACCTGTTTGAACTAGTTTTTTTGCAGTTCTACACTGATAAATGTGTATTTTTTTCCAGTATCCACCTTCTGTAAATTCAAAAACATTTGAGCCTAAATGTGATGTTTGCTGGGACTCCGAGTGAAAATTTGCACCATGTCTAAAACTCGTTCCCAAATAAGATAGTAGCTTTAGAAATATTTCGTTGACCCCTGCTGTTGTGTTTTGGAGGCTCCACTAAGTCCCACAATTCGATAAACTGACAGAAGTTTAGTTGTTTGTTTTGCGTGTGTGTGTGTGTGTGTGTGTGTGTGTGTGTGTGTGTGTGTG